GCAATCTCTCGTAATAAACAGCTATGAGGCTGAGTTACTGCCACAGTTTGCCTTTGACTATAAATCAGTCTCAGCAGATGTTCATTCCTTCATATTCTATTAAGCATCTGAGATTATGTTTGAAATATATTGGAATAATCAGCACTTGAGACATATTCATTTATACCAACAGTATCTGGCGATAATAATATCCTTGTAATTACACCACTATGAGCATTCTCAGCAAAGACATAATTTTTTTCTATCACAATCCTTTAAAATATTTATAGCTGTTGATTTACCACTGTATCAGAGTACTTCCTTTCCCTTTAGCCTATCTAATACACTTTCCTACAGAATGTTAAGAATCTGGCATTTGAGATTCCTTGGTTAATAAAAAACAGTTTATGGCTAGCAGTTGACTTGATATAATATGTTGTAAACAAAGCAGCAGTTTTTTTACATCTGACTTACAGAATTTTTGGAGCTATGTGACAGCTTCTAAGGCACAGACATGAAGACAGAAATTAATTACCATTTTACTACAAAAGACTATGGGCAACCTTCTGCCCTCTTACTCCAAGACACTATTTTCAGGGGATTGTGATTGGATAGAGTCCTTCTGCTGGATCTCTACATAGAAATAAATTTTACTCTGGCTGAACTATCTTGAAGGAAATATTTTTACTTGGAAGATTAATGAACACCTTCGGCTGAATTACTTGTTCACCCCAAATTCCATCTCCTTGGTATATAAGCAGCATGTATCTGAAGGCAGTAGCCCATGTAGGAACAGCTGTGGTAGTTAGTGAAGGCTTTCCTCAATCCAAGAGCTGAAAAGGCACTTTTATCTGACTTCTTTAAAAGCTTCGATTTCCCTAGAGGTGCATCAGAGGACTGAGGGCTTAGATTTGGTGAGACTGATGAAATGACAAAGTGTGAGAAAGAGTATTTGTAATCCAGCACATGGAACATTGGTTTTTACGTGAAATCCTGGTTCATGTCTCGTCAAAACTGTATGTGTGCACCTGTTTGTTTTAAAAACTGGAATTTTTTTATGATACAAATTATTTAATCAAAAACATGCATTACATAATTAGTTTGACATTCTTATCTTTGTTACTCCACAATTTGCATTTAAAAATAAGGTGAACTGTAAGAAATGATATAAGTCTTTGTGGGTTTCACTGAGTTCACACCTTGAGATCTGATCAAAGAGAAAAATGGCCCTCACCTGTAGTATTGTACAGTGATATAGCTCAACATTTTTCTTTTCCCTCACTATGGAACTTATCTCTCTTTTCTATCCGTCTGCTCATTTTCATTTATTCAGTACCTCTGAAGTTTTCTATTCTGTATCATATGCAATCAACATTAATTAAAAGATCCAAAATATACTGTGCAGGGCCTAGAGAGAAAGTGATGACATCAACACTAAGAAACCTGTCTAAAAACCAGAGCAAAACTGAACCAATGCAGCACATGCTAAATTAATGGAACTTTGGCACCATGATAGATATCAGCTAGTGATTTGGCAATAAGAACTTGTGTTTTTTTCCCAGTCATCGAGGAGGTTTTGGTAAAAACAATCATCATTATATGTTTTAACTATGTGGAAGCACAAATAAAATTCTTACCAGCAAACTTTGCATATAGCACAAAACCCTTGCAATATAACTGATGAGGAGGACAGGTTTAGCTCTGCAGAAGAGCATGAATCACATGCTAGACTGTGCCCACATTATGGATGATAATGTATGACACATTTACCAGTGGCATTTATATTTCAGAAAACAGTGACTTGAAAGCAAATTTGAGCTGAACATGAGCTCAAAATGTGATAGAGAACTAAGAACACAGTGAAGTCTTATATCTAAAAGGAGAGAACTACTGAACAGAAGAGATGGTATTACCACATGATGATTTATGCACTAAAATGACAGGAAGAGTCCAGAAAAGAATGATGAAGAGTATTAGCAACCTGGAAAATCTTCCTAATTCTGCAAGTAAGGAAGTTAAAACTATTTAAGCTTTGGCATCTTAAATATATAGTAATACATTAAGCTAGTGGATTACTTTGCAGAACATTATCTTTGCTGTGCTGGCTGCCCACAAGTTCTTAACCTTGTGGACAACACAAGGTTGTTTTACATTCATATGGTTAAAGGTGAACACAAGAACCTCTGCTGCAGAGAAGCTAAGGTACTATCTTCTTGTTACCTGACAGTAACTTACCCTACAGTGCCATATCCTCAGTGAATTCAAAAGTAGGTTACATATGACGTGGTCAAGACACAAAAGTACAAACATGGGAAGCTGTCATATTTTTGTAGTCTATTTAAACTAACACAATCCAGCAGCTGGAAGTTGAAGCTGGAAACACTGAGACTGGAAATTAAAACCTAGTTTTCTAGAGATGTTACATCTATCAATTGTGTTCTTGAGGCTAAAATTGCAAATGTTTCTGAAGGCTCACATAGAAATTTTATCTTTGATACAGGGAATACCTTAGAAACATCTTGAATCTGATTTGTCCAAGCAGTCACATTGCACAAATAATGACATTTCCTTTTAAAAATCAATATATTTATAAGCACAGATAGTTTCAAGGTTGCTTCTATCTCCTTGACATGTGACCCCAACAGTAACCATATTCTCAGGAGTATAAATGAATATCCCAGAATGTCTGGACTGAAAATCAATTTATGGATTATATCTATGCTGATTTTAAAAGATCCTTTATAAATTATTATTTCTTTATAAATCACCCTTATAAATTAGGATTTGATCATAAATAACAGCCATGAGGCAATGAGATTAAAGTTAGGAAAGGCATGCTGAAGGTTGAGCTCTTGCTCTTGCATGCCAACATCCTGGTTGATTCCATTAGCATACAGCTGAAATGTGAGCTTGTGAACATCTTGCCATCACTGAAGACACATCTATAGAGGGGTTTCCCAAGATTCATGTATGTAAGATGTACACAATGCCTATTTGAAGTTTTTTTGTGACAGTTATGTTTTTTCTGATCAGTAACCTGCTTCTGTGCTGCTTCATAAAACGTTGCACTCACCATTTGCTTCTCCTTAACAGCTTTCCTCTTGTTGATGCCCTTAGACAGTAAAAAAGGAAGAGGAAATCCATTTACTTATAGCTGAAATCCTGTCCAAAATCCCTGTTGCACTTTGAGTGCTACAAAAGCCCACAGAAAAAAACACTTCTTGTCATCTGAATCCACAGAAGAGATGAGCTTCAGTGGCTGAACTGAGGTAAAATTTGCACATGATTTTTAATTTCACTGAGGAGTCTTAGGAAAGTACATCCCACCCTATTTGCCTCGACTTTTCTTCTTTGAGGGTTAAAATTATATTTTCAGGATCATGTAGGGTCACTTTTGGGTTTGCACACACAGACATCCAAACACACATACACATGTACATTGATGCATATTAAAGGACTTGCAGAAAATTTGAGTCCAAATCTGACAGGAATCATTGCTCTGTCAAAAATCTCACTGCAGGAGCCTTAAACAGCAGCACTCTCAGCTTTCCAAGTGCAGGACTTGATGTACGAGGTTAATCACAAAGATTCATTTTGTTGAGGGATCAGAAACCCAAAGCTGGCTCTATATAATACCTAAATCCCTTAATGCAACCAGCAGAGCCACAGTACTTCTGTCCTCTAAAGCTGGTACTTTCTATTAATTCAAGATACCTGTGCATTCAGCTTTCTTTTCAGGCCAATTGCTAGAGGAAGAGCTTTGCAGTTGGAAGGAAGGAAAACTCACAGTTCCAAAAGATGGGAGATAAACTGCTGGCCCCTTCATAGTTAATAGAACTTTTATTACTCCCTTCAGTGCAGGATTTCACCAAATCCGTTTGATTATGTAAAGTTACATTTCTGTATCCTTTTCCATACATTTATTCACATGTAAATGAAAGTCAGAAACACTTCTGAACTCTGCTTTCACATGCAGATAAAAGGTTTTTCCAGAAACAACTAACATGAAAAATTGCAGGCATCTGTGTATTGTTCTCTAATAATTTCTATGATGTAAATTCAAAGCTCCAATCTATTGACTCCTAAGGATAAGACAACTTCACAGAAAACTTCAGATCATACCAAGACAAAATCCTGCCTGGAACTCATCAGAACAAATACTTAAAACCTGAATATGAACTTTAGCATGACTTTAGCATGACTTTTATGAAAAATCAGCAAAACACAGTTGATTACACTTTTCCATCTCACCATGAAGGAAGGGAAAATGGAATGGAATGACTTGTGAAGAGGACAATGTGAACATGATATTCCTGGACCAGTCCCTTTTCTCTGTATCACTTCAAATACATGGTGAAAGCTGACTTATCATATTAACATTTAGGGACATCATTTTGTAATAATGGCTGGGAGATATCTTTGTTCATACCATTCTGTTAAAGAAATGACCTGAACAGAAAATACACTTTGCATGAATCTCCCATTTATCAGAATAACGTCATACAGTAATCAAAGTGTGTAGAAATTACAATGCAGTTTGTGGAAACACAGCACAGGCTATAATTATTGAAAGGGTTCAAAGAAAGAAAGAAACAAACAAATAAATAAACAAAAAAGATCCATTAGGAAGTCTGAAGACAGAACAAATATGGTCAGTTTCTTCTGCACCAAAAGAACCTCCATATGTTTTGAGACATTTGCTTTCTGTCAACCTATTTGGCTAGTTTATGATATTGCTGAAACAATTGTAAAATATACGTTAATGTATTTATAGCAAACAGATATTATCTGGCTAAAAAATGGAAATATTTAGCAAAAAAAACCCCACAAACATGAGCTACTTATGTCCTAAAAATGATGAATGACAGGTGATCAGATGAGATGGAAGTTGTAGTAAAATGGGTATATGGTTACAAACTTTTATCAAAAATGGCTTTGCTGCTTAAAGGATGGTCACAAACATTCTGTTACAAGTTGAGCGTGAGTGTATGTAAAAAGATAAGGACACTATCTACATTTACCTACTCTGATCCCAGTTGGCTGCAAAAAGCAGAAGAATCTTCCTGCCACAGTGGTCACGATTTTCCAGTACTCCTGGGAACCCATCTGTCAGAGCCCGTTTGATTCCTGGATCGTCAGCCTTGAAGTTTTTGAACATATCCAGGTTTAATTGGCGGTACTGGAAGTACTGAGCCAGCAGTCTGAAGGCCTCAGTTTGGTGAAACTTTCTGGCTCGGAGAAATCTCAAGATGAAGGCATCATCTGTACGTAAAAACCCAATGTCAGGCCTCGTGATAATCATGTCCCTGACTTGCTGGATATCCTGATGCAAAATGTCTGGGTTTTCATTCAGTTCCAGGCGGGCTTTCTCTATAGTCTCTGGACTAAGTCCAGCTTGTAAGTGGGTCATCTCTGCAAAAACCTCTTTTCCAAATCCTTAAATTCAGATGCTTTAGTAGAGGTGCTGATCCCATTCAAGTGATGGTCTGCTGTGAGTGTGAGCCATTCAGATGCTTTTTCCCATCAAGCTGATATTTAACAAATGAAAGCAAAGGGCTTTTCTTATTCTTGCGGAAAGAGTGACAGGTAGTTCACATGTAGTATAATCCATCCAAAGGAAAGTGTTGTTTATTCCATCACCTACTAAAAGAAAAGGAAAATATATAAAAGAAAGACTAAATACATATATAAAGCTTGCAGGAATGCATTTCTGAATTTAGATAGACATAAAATTTCTTTGTGTGCTTTATAGGTATGAGGATACCAGTCAATTTCAGAATGAGTGCATTTAAGATAAGGCAGTCACTAACATCTTGAATGTATGTATTCAGGTTTTCAGAAAAGTAATATGATTTATTGACAAAAAATACTAAGCTGTATCAACTTACTATTGGAATACACTGTGCAATGTTGTCTTACAGAAGTGGGAGTTGCAGCATCCCATAATTTTAAGCCAGGAATGACAAAGGCAAAAATAATAGTAAGTTTTTTCCACCCCAACAGGAACAACATTTCAGCTTCATAAGTACTCAGATTTACCCTCATCATACTAAGCAGAACAACTATTTGATTTGGTTTTATCAATTGTACTACTAGCTTGTAGCTTTCCTTGAATTAAACACTAAGCTGACTGTAAAACTGATTTTTAAAAAACCAAAAACTCCACCAACACCAGGGATAATTTCTACTTTGTAGAACCTCACTGAAGGTATTTCCCGTTGAGACTTAATACATCTTCATTGGAAGCTCTACATGAATAAGGTATTTGATGTATCTAACAGACAGGGCTGGTGTTTTAGTTGAAAAGAGATGTGTTTTATACTAAACTTTTTTTCCAGTATATTGTAACTCTCCTGAATACCTAGTTCTGAATTTCATTTTCGTTTCTGTACTTTACCTAGTATTTGTTTTTACAGGTGTTAGAAGAAAAACTGCTTAAGACGTTATGTATGAACAAATCGGTACAGAGCATCTCTTACATTTCAGTGACATAATTAAGCAAGAGGTTGTCATCGAAGTCTATGTAGTTACAGTTGTGCAAAATAAGATCAAGGTCTGTCCCAGTGTGATATGTGTGTGAAGAAAGATCAAGACCCATACAGTTTTTCAGCCATCACAGAAACAGACAAGCGAATACCCCTCCCTCCACTGCTTAACTGATCTCTCTCTAATTTCTGAAAATTTGGTTTTAAAAATTAAAAGGGAATCCCTCAGTGACAGACATACTTTTTGTATTTGAAGAAAGCTGTTTGGAAAGTTATGAATTATTTATAGCAAAACAACCATTTCACTCAGCTACTCCCCTGGGTTCAGCATTCTCAGATCAAACAAAGGGGAGAGCAGAAGCCAAAGCATTTTTTGGTCCAGAGTTTGCTCAAAGTTACATTGCAGGACCTGGAAGTCAATCAGCACAAGGGATGCCTCAGTTCCCTGTGTTGTGACCTTGCATGTTATTGATAAAAACTACATTTTAGATGGCACAGCTGCAGTCCCAGGATGAGATCCCAAAATTTGAATACAGAGAGTTTCTGCATATTTGCTTAAAGGACATTTGTGGTGGGAGATAAGCTTTTCATTTAACAGCAATGTGAATTGGACTTTTTTGTAGGTAACACAAAGGAGAGTTTATTAAGCATCCTCTTTCTGTATTCACTGTGGAACTGGAACTGAAAAGAGCTACCTGCAGGGCAGAGTATCTGGTGATTGATCAGCCTGGGAAAACTTCAGGAAAGGCAGAGCTGGCAGAATAGGAGGCTTTTACAAGGCACTACAGAGTGCAAATGACTCCAGAAAAAAAGTCCTGAGGTTTTGAAGGATAATTTATGGGTGCAGGCTATTCAATTCTGAAAGAAATAAGAGCTGTATTAAAGGTGGATTCCTCATATAGAAATAAAGTAGCAGCTATTTGCTTTGCTCTTGCCTTTATTAGACCAAATTAGAATAACTCCTATAGTATGAAGTGAATTGCACAGATGTAAAATTGCAGTAGGCCATAGGGAAACTAAGCCAATATTTTGTGACTGAGATTTCAAATTAATGGTGACACTAGCATTTTCTTGCATGATTCACGGTTTTAGTTACAACTGTCTCCATGAGCTAGTTAGGGGAGCTTAGGTGTGATAATATCATTGGGGGAGTGTGGGACAAGGATTGGTCCCTCCCTAGTTTAAACAACAAATAGTAGAGTAAGGAAACTGTGCTAAAGGGTACTCAGCAGAAGAGTGGAAGCAAGAAGCTTATCTGGGGTCTGCATTAGCTCTGGCTCAGGGCCCAGCACTCCTATGGCTTAGAATCTCAAAATAATGGAATCACAGGATGGTTTGGATTGAAAAGGACCTTTGGAAATCATCTGGTCCAACCTCCTTGTCATGAGCAGGGACATCATTCACTGAATCAGGTTGTTCAAAATCCCATTCAACCTAGCCTTGAACACTTCCAAAGATTGAGCATTCACAATTTCTTCGGGCAACCTATTCCATAGTCTCACCACCTCTATCACAAAAAAAAATTCTTCTTTATATTCAATGTGAATCTGTCTTTTTTCAGTTTAAAAATGTTAGCCCTTGTCCTATTACTACAGGCCCTACTAAAAAGTCTCTGACCATCTTTCTTATAAATCCCTTTTAGGTACTGGAAGGCTGCTGTAAGGTCACCCTGAAGCTTTCTCTTCTGCAGGCTGAACAACTCCAACTCTCTCAGCCTGTCTTCACAAGAGAGGTGCTCCAGCCCTCTGATCATTTTTGTGGCCCTTCTCTGGACCTATTCTAAAATGTGCAAGGACTAGTGGCAGATAACTGTGTCACACACTCAATCCCCAGTGGAATCATCCATTTTGTAGGAGTTTACGGGGAGTAAAACTGCTCTTTTTCTGACTCCCACCTCCACCAAGATACTTTCTTTCGAAATAAGGCAAATTTTTGAAAGGTCAACTACAGTCTGCTCCAGAAAGAAAAATGAGATTTGACCAAGGACATAAAATCTGGCCCTTCTTATTGGATCCCCAAGTATTTAATGTCAAAAATTATGCCACTTATTTTCATTAAAGTTGCCTACCACTTTTAACCAAATTAAATGCCCAGAATTATCCTAAGGCGAGGGAGATACAGTCCTTTCCTGTCAGATGTTGTTGCCAAAAAAGCAACTTACAAATACTCAGTCTAACAAAAGATATATTTTAAAATGCATTTCGGAATTTTCTGATAGTGAGCTGAGCTATAACCACGGATTACAGTTATCTATAGATTATCCTGATTAGCAGCCGGAACACACTGCACTGAAATATTTTATTGGTGTGAAGTTATATATTGCAAAATAATCTAAAATATGTGTGAAAAATTTTGTTGCTGTTTTAATCGTAACACAAATCATGAGGTTAGGAATCCACTCTCACACCATTGCCTTTAAGGAGTCTGATATACATCAGTGGATGAGTCTGTACTCCCACTACTAACCTTGACAATAAGTTTAATGCTCCATAGCTACCCAGTTTAATTGTCACTGCACTTTCTCAAATGGTACTGATTTATTCTGATTCCCAAGGTATAACAGACCATTTTCACCCCCTCCCACCCATGGCAATTTCTCCTTCTCTTCCAGTGTTGTGTGCAGTTCTCATCCATCTACCAATTTGTCAGATGTTTACATCTTTGTTCAGTTTGGTTCAGGGTTGGTTTATCTTCCAAATGAAGATGCTGGCTTTTTTTCCTTACCTTGAATATTGTTGCTGCATGTTGGCAGACTAGACTGTTTGTTATAATCTCAACAGCTGTTTTTCTGTCTTGTGACTCTTTGTTCCCAAAGGACTATTTGCTCTCCTAATGTCTTTTCACAGCCACTTGCAATAAATCATCCCTCCAAAGGAAAAAAAAAACCAACTTTAAAAAAAAAAAATTTACAGAGATTTGAAACACAACATACTTATACCCAAAAAGGAGGGAAATTTCCACCAAAACTGTGGTGTCACATACCATTGTGGTTTACTTATTTTCCATCCCAACAAGAGAATGACAAGGGACAGAGAGTGGCTTCAGGATGGGTAGCATACTGAAAGTGGGACACAGTTTTCAGACAACCAGCTTATATTTTTGCATGACCCTCCATGAAAAAGAAAAAAATTACTTAATAATAAAATGTATAATAATACTGTACAAACAAAAATAAAAATAATATATTATGGAATATTTTTATATGCTTTACTGCTCTCTCTTCAATGACAGTTTCTGAGTCAGCATTCAACTCCTGTTTGCTCTACATCCCCTGGAAGACTGACCAAAACCAGCTCTCAATAATGATGACATTTGTCTGGATCATTTTGTTCCTGCCCACTTAGCTGTCCCTGCAATATCACTTGCTTTTTTTGAGCACTTCATGTGCATTTGGCCCTTCCCCATCCAGTTCAGTTCCAGAAAGATTTTAGTTGTCTCTGTGTCTACCAAGTGTTTTCATTCAGTCCAAAGCTATATGGAGTGTGAAATTTCATTACCACAGTTTTCAAATGGAGAAGGAACCAGCGTTTGATCTTCACCTGGTATTAAGAGGCATCACTGCTAAGGTTTGGCTCATTATATAATTCCTAGCTCCTAGCATTCATACAGATATTAGCTGCTACAATCATGCCAGAGAGGAAGGGAGTGGGCAGGAAGGGAGGAAAAATGGTAATATAGAATGATTTCATCTCAGAGAGTGGGTGTCATCTCATTAAATTGCTTTTTGAAAAATATTTTGATGTTAACTGTGGAAAACCTCTTGGGGCTATGTTCTGCTTAACAGAGGTTGCTTCATAAGGACTGGGTAGGATGAATCCACACCTGTACCTATAGGAATGGTTCCTATGGCACTTCGTGGCCTTGGGTTACCTTAGTAGGAACCTGCTCTGGAAATGGATTGGTAAGACATAGAAAGGGAACTACTCCAGCTCCCTGAACTACTTTCGAAAGAGCAATGAGAAAAACTGATTCTCTCTTGTCCTTGATGGCAAGATCATAGCATCTTCCACAGATTGTGGGGAGAAGCACAGCCCTGACTGATTTGCTTGAGATCATGGAGGACACATTTCACATAGCTGGGAACAGATCATATGTCCTCTGAGTCACAAGCTTACACACTAACACCTGGGAAATCTTTCCTCTCTATGCATAATGCTC